TTGAAGCACCTAATGGGCAACACAGCAGCCGTATTGACTTTGTGGCCATTTCGCAGGATATTCCATTTCATGATGTGAGTTCTGGCGTAGTTGACTCCATTGAAATGGGTGGAACACGACCTGATCACTATCTTGTGATGTGCCAGATGAAGTTTGAGATGCAGATCAAAGAGGCGCACAAAGGCCCACGCACTCGACATTTGTCGTGCTCAAGATTGAGACTTCAAAACCGACTGCAAGACCCTGATGCTCATGTATTTTTGCATGACCAAATCTGCAACCCACCATGGTCTCAAGATCCTCATTCGTCTGCGGATATGCTGGCTTGTCAGACTACAAAAGCGCTCCACAAATTGCTGCCGACTGCCCCTCGTTGGCGACGCAAGCAGCATATTGATCCAGCCACATGGGCACTGGTCGATGAAAAGAAGATGCTCTTTCGTCAACTGAAGCAAATGCGAAAAACTGAAAGTCGAACGAGATTGCAGGTGATCTTCAGCTCTTGGCGTGCAATGAGTTCCTTAACAGATATGGCAGACTGCAGTCATCTTCGAGGGTGGTTCTCGCTGACTGACAAAGCAATCGCCACCACGCAACTGAAGCTGCGCAAAATTTCTCTATGTGTTCGAGATGCCATCCGACAAGCAGATGCCCAATACTATCAGAAACTGGCTTCTGATGCCGGACATGCATATACACATGAAGGCCTTACTGCAGTTTGGAAGAAGATCAAAGGAGTTCTCCCCAAGAATCGTCTGCGGCAATTGCATGCCCGACATGAACTTGGTGATGGCCTCCTTCAACACTTTGCTGAACTAGAAGCAGGTATGGTCACTGATCGAACTGGAGCCATTAGCGCTTGCACTGAGCGCAACCGACGAGATCTTGAAGCAGCCTCTTCCTGTGAGATTTTCAATTTGGCAGACCTTCCTACCCTCACAGAGGTTGAAGACCTTTGTCTGAAGCAACGGATTCATCGAGCGCCAGGGCTTGACAACATACCGCCTGAAGTATGCCGCCACGCTGCCTCTGCCATTGCGCCAAGCTTGCACAACCTTATACTGAAAGCCTTCCTGCAGGGAGTTGAACCTCAAAGATACAAAGGTGGGCGTCTTTGCCCCATATGGAAGCAGAAGCACTCTCGTCAAGATCCCAGTTCTTATCGTGGAATTCTCTTGGCAGATTGCTTTGGGAAGGTGCTGCATGCTTGGGCGCGTCAGAGGCTGCTACCAACTTTGATCCATCGGCGTGCCCCCGGCCAAATAGGCGGGCTTCCGTCACAGCAGACGATCACAGCCATTCAAATTTTGAAACTGCACGGGAGGATTGGCCGACAGAAAGGCATCACGACAGCAGTCATTTTTGTCGACCTGAAGGCAGCCTTTCATCACATGCTGCGTGAGTACATATTCACAGTGCGTGAACCTCTGGCACGACAGACGCTTGAGCGCATCCTGGATCCCAACGAGTTTGACATTGAGAAGCTTGCTGCGGATTTGCGTGATGCAAGTCAGAACCTCCCTGCTGACATGCCTGCCGCTCTCCGCACATTCTTGCATGACCTTCACAAGTCGACATGGTTCCAGCTAGATGCTGACTCTGATCAAGTTGTGGTGACGGAAAGAGGTACGAGGCCAGGATCACCGCTGGCCGACATTGGTTTTAATCTACTCATGGCCAAGATGATGCATCAAATCGAAGCTGAACTTCATGCATTACCACAATATTCTCAGGGATGTGACAAGCTGGGAATTCAAGTTCCTCCCCTTGCCTGGGTTGACGATCTTGCAGTTCCATTAGCAACAGAGCTCCCTGAACAGATGCCGTCCCTTATGAAAGCAGTTGTGGTCATTTTGCACAATACTTTTCGTTCGCATGGCATGACCATGAATTTTGAAAGTGGCAAATCGGAAGGTGTGGTCATGTTTAGAGGACGAGGTGCTAATCGATGCCGTACCACCATGTTTGACAGTAACTGTTCACCGTGCATTGTGGCGGCAACGGATTCGCACATTCTGACTTTGAAAGTGGTGGCCACATATCGCCACCTTGGCGCGAGATTCACCATGGATGCCGACATCGAGATGGAGGTTCAAACCAGAATTGGAATGGCACGTCAAGCCTTTCAGGAGCTGAAACGTGCGATCTTTCTGAACCGCCACATTCCATTGCAGGGACGGTTACAGCTCTATGACAGCTTGATTGTGTCCAGGCTCCTGTATGGATGCGCCGTGTGGTCGGATGTGCCTGCTGCCACTCTGAGGCGTGTTGAGGCGATGCTGGTCAAGCACTACAGAAGCATGGCCAATTTGGGTTTCTGGAATGACTCTCATATGACGGATGAAGAAGTGTGCCTCCACCTTGAGGTCCCAGGTTTCCGCATCACATGGGCCAGGCATCGTCTTGTTTATTTACAACACTTGGGCAAACATGCTTTTCCTTGTCATCGTGCTCTCCTCCTAAGTGAATTTCAACATGGAAGGGGTTGGCTTCATGAAGTCCAAGCAGACTTGCGCTGGATGCAAAGACTTGTTGAGCTCCCCTTTGAGTTTGCAGGCACCACCAGCAATTGGGAGAATGTATGGACATGTCTGCAGTCTTGCAGAAGTTGGAAGAGCATGGTGAAACGAGCGTGTCGAAAGCATGTCCTTCAAGAGCGTATTGCGCGGGATGTACATCATTTTCACTTCTTGATCACGGAAGAGCTGAACAATGAAGGATTGGCTGTTTGGCAAGGTGAGGAGGTTTCCTGTGCCACACCGACCACTTCTTTTGCATGCCATGACTGTGACAAGACTTTTGCCACTGCGCAAGCCCTTGGTGCGCATGCCTTTCAGATCCATGGTGCCATCTCTGATGTGAGACAGTATGTTCAATCGACTGTCTGTCCTGGCTGCTTGCGTGACCATCACACTACGTGGAGACTCCAACAACACCTTCGACATCGCCGAAATGGTTGCTGGGACCGCATTCATGGAGCACGTCCTCCTGACGCCCCCGTCACCATTGCGATGCCTCCACATTTGAAGTATGTCAAACGGCTACCAGCAGTGAGGCGTCATCATGGACCGCTTCGACCTACGAGTGGCCAACGACACCGCATCAATTTGAGCAGACGAATTGCCAATTTGAAAGAAGCTGGCGCACCTGAATTTGCATGGTGGCATCCTGAGACGGATCCGAACCTGGTTCAACGTGCCTTTCAGCTTTTTCGTCATGGTTTGGAAGCATGGTGTACATGCGAGACACCAGACATCATCACCTTTCATGACATTTTCTTTCAGAAAATTTTTCAGTTGGAGGTCCCAGACTTGCTGGGGGGTCGATTATTTGTGCACTGGATCGAGCAAGACTTTCACAATGCGCAGCCCGTTGACTTGGATGTTGACTTGATTCAGATGCTTGAAGTGGCACACATGGATATGCTTGAGGATATCCCAGCATGGAAGAGTCGGATTGAAATGCGGAGATTGACGCAGATGTGGCTCAACAGGCCACCTGATGAGCCGGACCACCCACCTCCTGTTCAACCACATCATCCACGCCCACTGTCTTATGTGCACGAGATCCAGTCTCGCTACGATGGCCTGGGTTCTGCAGAGCAAGCACGTGCACAATGGAGACTGCTGGGTTCTCCAAAACGTGTGGCTCCATCTCGTATTGGGCCATACTACCTCGTCCATCTGTATTCAGGAAGACGAAGGTCCGAGGACTTTCACGCCATGGCAGAAGAGATGCTCCAGGCGTTTCCACATCTTGACGTGCGAGTCCTCTCCATCGACACCGCTGTTGATCCGTCCCTCAATGTTCATTGCGAGCGATTGTGGGGATTCCTATTACAGATTGGACGAGCTGGAAGAATTTTGGGCCTACTCCAGGGACCTCCCTGTGAGACCTGGACAGCTGCTCGACACAACCAACAGTATGATGATGAGGGAAAGGTGATCCGAGGCCCTAGGCCTTTGCGCACTACGGATGATCTCTGGGGAATCGCTCTACTTTCTTGCAAAGAATTGGCGCAGATCTACACCGGCAATGTTCTCCTGCTGAAGGGGCTTCTCCTGGCTGTGGTGGTGGCGCTGCATGGTGGGGCGACCATCCTCGAGCACCCAGCGATGCCTTTTGCTGATGAGATCTCTAGCATTTGGCGTCTTGGACTACTCCGCCTTCTGATGCGTGGCCCCTCTGGACCTTTTCGGCGTATCACTGCTGAGCAGTGGCGACTAGGTAGCTGTGGTGTCAAACCCACTACATTCAAATACTCCAATTGTGATTTACCCACCGCCATCCTTGCGTGTCATGACCCTAAAGCTACACGCCCAGTTCAAGCTTTGTTGGGAAAGCACCAAGATGGCTCATACAGAACCTCAAAGGCGAAGGAATACCCGCCACTTTTGAATAGGGCTTTTGCCATGGCTTTTGGACAAGCAATGCGATGCTGGTCCTTGACATCAGGCTGCCCACAGGCCGAAGAGTATGGCCTTGAATTAGAGCGCATTGCAGTCTGTACGGAGTACGATGAGCTGCGCCCTGATTACCAGCCTTCCTAAGGTCTTGGTACTTGCAAGTGCGGCACGAGAAAGTCTCATATGCCCTGCCAAAAAAATTGTATTCTGGACTGGTTTCAGAGAGGTTCGTTTGACGTTCCCGCCAACAGGTGCTGGTGTGAATCTTGGAGGTTGGCTAGTTCTTGAAGATTGGTTCTTCTCGGGCAGTTCTGGCAGCTACTTGCCTGATTTTATTGCGGGCAAATTTGATCAAACTAGGGCACGGCTTGTCCAGAGTATCCTGATGCAATTCCGAGACATTGCAGTTGGAAAGACATTTCCGAGGAAAGGCCGAGGGACGCACAGTGAGTCTTTATCTTGTTCATCTGCAACCCAATGAAGCCTTTCGTGGAATCGTCAAGCCCCATTTTGTGAAGATATCCCTTGAGGCATTCAAATCATGCCAATGTAATCAATGTTTTTGATATCGGCATTTGGCTCTGAGGCTTTGTGATGTCGCAAGGCGTGGGCCAAGGCCAATGTCTTCCTCCGCTGTTGCCACATTCTGATGAACCGTGGCCTTCTGAGGGAGTCCTGGCATACCGCTTGAACGCCACCAAGGGAAAGGAGCGATGTGACATGTCTGATGTGTTGTACAAGACGTATAAGGGACAGGAATACAAGGCCAGTTGAATCCAATCGAGCATTTATCTATAAAGAGTCTGACACACATTTGCCCTTAATTTTTCTTTTGCAGCTACACTGAAAGAATCCTGTATCCTACTTGTTTCTCTTATTCGACTGCCCTTGAATACGTGAGATTGTGTAGATTGGCTTCTCCTTTGTGGCTGTGTTCCAAACTTCCTCTTCTCATCCCTTCTAGAATCGATGCATGCTTTATATCCCCAGTGGGCAACATGGCCCTTCTTGGAGAAGCCTAGTGAGCTCCCAGCTCCATTCCCTGAAGGACCAAACTCTGAAGATCTTTGAGGCGCACCGGAGAGAATTCTTAGCGGATGACGACCTGCAGAAGATCGCAGAGAAACTGGGCAAGAAATCTGGGGAGGTCACATGTCTTTCAACAACTCCAAGGATGAGAATATGAATATCATGAATATCTGAATAATAATAATAATAACTCTGAATATCAGAATATCCATATCTTAACAATTCTTAGACAATTCTTCACATTTTTTCTGACACAGCTGTGAAGCCGAACAAAGGAGCGGAATCTCCGTGATTCGATTGCCGCTTACCTGGGCAGCTTTTGCCGATGCTTTGGCGCCATTGAGCCCTGTCTATGCGTCCTTCGATCCTGATGAGGAGACGGCATTGGTACCTGATCCTTTCTATGTGGACAAGATAGCGCTGGCCACCATTCCTAGAAAGATCTTGGTGGATTTTTTGCACAAAGCCTCAAAGCATGGGCTGACGGTGATTTTCGATTTGCACGCCTTTCCAGGCGGTGCCCAGGACGGAACGTACAACACGGTGTGGCCAAATCGGCCGGTCTTCTGGAGCGAGAAGACTCAAATCTCCAAGGATCCTGCAGATCCTGTTCCGCTATCAACAGTAGGCCGCTGGGTGGTGCAGGCGTTGATCAAATGGGTGGAAGCCTTGGATCCAGAAACACAAAAAGCGGTCCACGGCTTAACCCTGATGAATGAGCCCGCGCACACCAATGCTTGGAGACATTTCGCTGAGGAGCAGAATGTTCTCACTTGGCTTTCAGAAACTTCAGGAGACTTTAGGACTTCAAGCCTGCCTGCTGCAAATGTGAAGCTCTACGTGAATCTCATTGAAACGGCTTTTTCTGCGTTGCTCGCACAAAGTATTTGCCGCGATGAATCATGGAAATGCATGGACGCGCATGGATATGCATGAAAATGCATGGAATGGTATCCTGGGCAGACATGATTTATATTATATATTTAAATATTGCAATTTCTATCTGCATTTAGATTTCTATTCATTTTTATACTTACATACATTCATGCATGCATACATGCATACATGTATACTGTACGTAGTCCCGGATTGAGCATGCCGTGTTCGGTAACATGTTCAGCCAATTCACATTTTGCCTTGGATCTGCCAGACTGAAACGAATCAAAGCCTTCGACTTTGCCAAGGTTTGAGCACTCTGCAGTGCCTTGGTTTCTTCAGACCTTCACGAAGGAAGAACAGAAAACATGGGCTGTTGCAGATGTGCATTGGTATGTGGCATGGAGCAGCGGCGATTGCGATGGCCGCTCTGTCACTTGCCTTATCCGGTGGAATGATCGTTTGAACAGGTGTGAGGCCTTTTTTCGGAGCTTGCTCTTTGAGAGTTGATCATGATGTTCTCACAGCAAAAGCAATATGGGTATGGATCAATACCTATTAATACCATTTTTAGGGGAATGAACATCCATTTACCAGCTATTTTGATGTTCACCAGGGGTACAAGGTTTTGACACACTGCCATATCAGAAACCTGCAGACGCAGACACATTGGTCAGGTGGAGGGTGGAGGTTTCCACTGCGCTGCGCCAATGCCGCAGGTCAAGGCCTGACCATTTTAGCGAAGTTGAGAAAGAAGCAGAAGTCAAAGTGATTCTGGAATCAAGAGACCTTGTCTGAGAGTCTATGTTGAACATATCTCAGCGATTTTCCTACCAACAAGGACACAGACAGGGGCACGGTATATACGGACAGATAAAGACACAGTTCAAAAATGTTCAAAAGCTCTGCTATGCTCAAGCACCACAGCAGACTTGACGGATCTGCAGGAGAAGTTGCACCTCTGTGCGAGCAGCGCTTCTCAGCGTCTTCGGCACCTCTTCGGCGATGCGCAGGTCTCGGTGACGGAGTTCTCAGCGGGGACTTTTCACAAAGCCAGGCACAGGGCCACAGGGCGCAGAAAAACACAGAGGGCACAGCAGACGACCACTGTTGGACCAATGTTGGACGAATGGACCAGTTCGACATGTGGAAACTGGATAAAAGATGATAAAAGGTGAAAGGTAGACATCATTCAGGGCAGAAGGAGGACTAGTGACTAGCGGAGATCCTCAATGCCATCTGAGATCTGCTTTAGATCTCAGCTTAATTCTCGCCTTTGCATGAAATCGAGTGAAGTAGCGTGGGGGTGTGCAGGTATGCATGCCATGACTCGCAGCTCCTACGAGCCTTCATTGAGGAGCAAGTGACATCGTTTCGGTCTGAGACTTGAGCGAAATATCTGAAGCAAGCCAAACGGCAGGGCTCCGGGAAACTGACAAATCATACGGGTAGTCTTGAAGCATCTTGAAACAATCTTTGGCCAACTTGAGAGATTGGAAGAGGTGCCCTGTTGCAACAGATCCACATTTAGGTATTGGTGCGGCCACAGAGACAAACAGCTATCCTAATTCTAACAAGAATTACCAGTCTCTAGATGTCTCTCGTTGTTCTATAATTGTTATTTCTCTTTGTTTCTTTATTGTTCCCTTGTCTTCAACCGAGGACCGCATCCAACCATTTTTTTGGACGTGGAAGATGCCATTTGGTCCGAACTTTGAGGCCGGTTGGAGTCTCAAGTATCTGCTCGGCTTGGAAGATTCAAAACTTGGCCAGCAATGTGATCCAAAATCGAGCAATGAGAACGTGCATTTTTGATGTGGGATGCTTGGCCCATCAATGATGTGTGGGCTTTCAATGCCACATATCCTGAGTTAGCGGCCTTTTTCTTGTGCACTCTTGGGACACCCCAGCACGAAAATTTGTGCAACAAGTCGCAAGTAGGTTTGTGGCGCGGGTTTTTCTCCCGGCTGTGCGCACTTTCTGAACCATGCAGATGTATAGCCTGCAAAGTCCGTTCCAGATCTGACAGCCACTGTACAGCTGACCTCAAAGAGGTCAAGCCGAAGGCAAATCTGGACATGACTCCGATGGCGAACACATTCCGTGATCCCATCGAGGAATCACGCTATGCCTTCACCACTTTTTATATCCTGTGATATCCCGTGCTTTTTGTGAATACCTCAGAGGTATAGCATGGAAGCTCTGCAGCTGCTGGCTCTTTTGATAGCCCCTTTGAAAGGCCTCCAAGTCTTTGGGACTTGGATGGCCAGAAGTGCTGTAGAGAATTGTAATTTCTTTTTGCTGAATGATTTTCATGACCTGGCAGTTGCCGAACGATCATGGACCAAAATCTGCGCATTGTTGTTCAGGTAGCAAGAGGTACTATGGTTTAGCAGGAGGCTGATACATGCTGATACACTAAATGTATCAAGAGGTTTCAACGAAACATCGCAGTATACTGCATACTGCATAGTATTTTGAGATATTTTGAGTAATGGATATAAATGGATATAAATGGCATGATGGCATGACATTCACAGTTCTGGTTTTCTTCGCCCTGGTAAGGTCCATGCTCTCCCGCTCGGAGCGCAATGTGAAATACGGAGAAAAAAGGAGTGCTGTGCTGTCTGTCAGCGCTGACCAGAGATCCAGTAGTGCATTCGATGGCTTTCCGACTGTGAAAAATCCACCGCATCCGAAGCATCCAAGCGTCGAAGCATCGGTTCGCAGGCCGCTTCGAGGTATTGAGCTGGGATGCGGCACTGGAGTTGCAGGTGAACTCGCCAAGTTTCAGCTGCGAAAGTAGCTTCGGAAGTTGGACAGGTTTGGAGGAAACTATGTCAACCTACAGCACACCGCAAAACACTTGGTTCATATAGGATCCAATCATATTTTGATCGGTTTCCATGCCAGGCTTCGGCTTGGCCTTCTTGGGTCATCAAGTTTGGGGGCCTTGGTTGTCAGCTGCAGCGACAAGGAATGAGAACGGTAGTTTTGAGCAGGTGCTGGTTTTAGAAGATTTCTGTTCACTGTTTGTGGATATCTGGATAGCGAGTTGTGGTGTTTGAACATTGGACAGAAATACTGACACAAGGATGACTCTGGTTCTTGCGGGATTGTCACTTTAAGCGCCAATTGTGGCACAACAAGACATCGGCAAATCAATACAAATCACAGAAAGCAAATGGCATCTCTACTTGCGCTCTTTCCCTGACAAAGCCCAGAGTATTTTTTTGATGCACCGTCGAGCAACACTGGCTCATTAGGTCCTTCTCACTGACATAGGGGCAGAGCAAGCTGCAGCGACACAGGTCTGGGAACGGAAGGTTTGTCCAGTGCGGGAGAGCCACAGAACGACTTTCACACTGGCTCTACGGAAAGTGGCACTTGAAGCCAATTTGAGGGTTGCAAGTCATCTCATCCTTCTGATGTGTCCGGAGTCAATCACCAGCGACGCAGGGAAATATTGCGCAGAACATGCAGACATTGGCTGCAACTGGGGGAAGTGCACAATATGGGCACTTGGACTGGAGACAGTTAGATACCCAGCTGACAGGAAGCAACTTGGTGACTTGGTGAAAGCAGACATAATGTGCTAAACATGGCAGAATTACATGGATGGTCCTGGATGGTTCAACAATTTCAACATGTCAACTTGCTCTTGTCAATAATATGAACAGGATCTGTGGGATTTCACTATGTATCGAGCCCCCCTCGTAGTTCTATGCAGCATCAGACTTTGCTGGGTTCCAAACTCAGGCTTCCAGAACGCAGTCAATACGGACGTTTTGATTTGGTCTTAGCCAGCGATGTGATTTGGCCACTTCCTCAGTCCCGCTCATTTCTATTGAATCGGCTGAATCGGGCTTTCCTTCTAACGTCTTCTAACGTGCGCGGTGTAGCAAGGGGTTTTTGCACACCGCTCCTCCGTGAGGCATGAGTCTCTTGTGGAGCCATTTTTGCAGGCTGGACGCTTTTTCATCCTCCCCCTGCCTTTGTGTCCATGCATTTACTATGTCTTTAAGGCCATGCTGGCTGTTCGTCATCTGCCATTTTCTCTTTCTCCTAATTCGGCCTTTTCGGATGCTTTTCAACCTTCAAGCCAGCAGCACATGGATTCCACTAGCATGTCTTAAGAGATCCTAGGTGTGCACTGGGTTCATCAGACAACGACCAAAGCATTTGTACCTTCATCTTTTGTCTTCCCATGTCAGAAGTGACTGGTCCCAAGGCAGTGTCCTGGGCTACTAGCGGTCCTGGTGCTGAAGAAGTTATTCTCTCGCACAAGGAGCTGAGTCTATCTGGGGTTGTGAAATGACGTGCAGAGCATCTTGGAGTCTTTTCTTGGAAGTGTCAAATTGTACAGCCTTGAGCCTGTTTTGCACGCCCTTTTTACCACTTGAAAATTGACGGTGGAAAACACGATGAGCTCCACACCTTGATTTGCAGCTTTCGGCCATCTATAAATGGTACCCGAATCCCTCAGGTTGTATAGCCCATCTGTTCTTAAAGTTGTTGTGTTTGAGGCAAGAGATCAAGAGTCCATTGAGCTTTTCCACAAGGCAAGAGGTCCATTGGAGACGGAGCGATTTGAGTCATTTGACCTCTGAAAGTCAATGTGCTGGGAAGCTTCTTCTCAGTCTTTCCTTTCGCCTGAGATGCTGGGACCTTTGGGCTTGGCATTGACATCCCAGGCTGAGACAGGGACTTTCAAAGATGAAGGGGGGAATGGTTGTACGTCGTACATTTGTTTCAACTCTCAATGAATTTCATGGAACATTTCCTTCATCATGATCTCATAGTTGTATGAACAAGGAACCCTTCCCAGACATTTGAGGTGCTGCAGGGTGGTGGAATGTTGTTGATTCGCGAGGTTGGACATTGAGTCCATTTTTCCACCGACATCATTGCGAACAGAGCAGATCATCAATTCAGGTCTCAAGGTTGTTGAGGGTGCTCGGACTAGCAAGTTACTTGATGGTACAGACTGTACAAAACATGCCCAGTGTTCAGCCGTGTTGCAAAGTTTCCTTAGAACAGGTACCAAGTGAACAAGTCCTGGGTGAACATGGCCATCCTGATGTGCAGTTGTGACCAGCCGCAGTGTGTTGATCTATGGACCATAAAGTTGGTAGCTACAGCTCCAACATTTCAAGATGTCTCAAGATGTCTCAAGGTGTCTCAAGAGCACATTCAAAGCTTCAGCCAAGTCTGCAGTTTTTTAAAGATCTCTGTTGCTTGTTGTGCATTTGGCTCGTTTGCTTCAAGTCTACGAGTACAGAATCAGAAGAATTGACATGATGCACCGTACCTTCATCCTCATGATCAAAACTTGCAAAATCTCTCTAGTTTGCAAACTTTGGTGACTCCCAGGTACCACTTGCAGCGTGTTGTTCAAGCGGTCAGATGATTCCAGCTCAAGGTGCAAAAAGAATGCGATGTCTGCTGGGAGTGTAGCAATCCAAAATCAACCCAGTTCAGTGGATCCAGCTAAAGGACTTAGAAGCCCAAACTGAGACCTTTCAAATCTTTTTAACATGTGTTTCTGGATCAATATCCTTCAAAAGGCTGAAGTCTGAATGTTTCAAACTTTTTGCGATTTGAAGATCCAAGTTCGGCCAGTTTACTACAGATCTAGAAGCGACTTCAGCCGACTTCAGCACTTGACTTAAATAAAAATGGAGCAACAGGTGTGTCTGATATGAAGCTGCCCTTCTTTATTCATCTAGCTCGGGCAACTTTTCCTGAGCTCTATAGTGTTTCTGATTGTACGCTCAGGGTTACTGCAAAGACACTAGATGACAGTGGACAAGTCTGCCCAATAGCCTACCAGATGCTAAATTGCAGAACTCTGGCTTTGTTTGGATATCATGAGGTAATTCCTCAGCCGCATTCGCCAGTAGGCGACATGATTTTATCAGTAAACGAAGTAAACGTTGCAAGGCAGATGGCCTTTGGTGGAAACATTGCAATGTACTGGGTGCTTCTCCGCCATCAGGATGAACCGTTTGTGCGCCTGTACACATCCTCTTGGCATCTGATATATAGCCGCAGTGACACACGTGCAGCCTGTTTTCGCGGCTGTTTGGCTTTGCACTTTCCCGACTATCCCGCAGTTGCTTCCGACTAGGTGCTCAGAGCCACTATTTGCAATGGGTTTGGCCTTTGAAGAGGTTGTGTCTGACGTGCTGGTTGGACAAAAGCCAGCAGCTTGGTCGTGCACAGAGATTTGAAGGTCACCCCTGTGCTACATTGATGCATTGCATCTACCTGAGTCCATTTTTCATGTTGGACTCACCTCCGCTAAGACGTAGACAAATTCTCCCAGAAGCTGTTGAGCTGTAGAGTTCGTTTTCTGCCAAACTTCTGCCAGCTGTTGAGCATTGCTTAGCAAGTGGGACTTGCACAGGATGGGTTGCCTCTTTTCCACGGCTGGGATGGACAGCCACTTCGTGTGCCAGCAGAAGAATATAAGCAGAGGGTGACGCAAACAAGGAAGTCAATGCAGCAGGCAAGCAGATTCCAAACAGGGAAGAGGGTAATTTCAAAAGCTTAGGCTTAGTTCAGGATAGTTCAGGATAGTTCAAGATAGCTCAGGATAGTTCAGGACATTTCAAGTATTGGCAACATTATATATTGGTTCTTACAGCGGCTCATGAGGAGGGTTTCGTCATGAGCACCCGGCTCGATGGATGTCCAGTAAACGCTGGTGAATTATCAGTTACATACCTATATATATATATAATGTATATATGTATATATATATGTGTATATATTGTAGTGTAATGTGATGTGATGTGATGTAATCTATCTAATGTAATGTATTGTTGTGTCATGTAGTGCTATGTAATGTTACCAAGTGTAATGTAACGTTATGTTATATTACGTTAGTATGTCATGTTATGTTATATTACAGTATGTTATATTATGTTTTATTATGTTATGTTATGTTACGGTATGGTACGGTACGGTATGGTACGTAATGTACGTATGTGTATATATTGTTTACTTGTACACACACACACATATATATATGATTATATACATACAATGTCTCTTGCAGTAGCAGAGAGCATGGGTGATGTCTCCCTGTCATTACCATTTAGTTCGACGACAAAGAAAGCATGCCATCCTTGGAAGGGAGATCATTGACATTGTACAGGATGGCATCGATTTCCTGATTGTGGTGCAGCCGGAGGACTCTGCTGGTGCTGTCACTGTTTCCCCGTGATTTCCTCATGTACCTATCATGTGTATCTTGCAGTCATAGAGTAAATCCCAAACTGCAACTGGTGCACGGTGTATGTTCTTGATGCGGAAGGCCCATCCGTGTTGAAGTTTGCTGTCTAAGCAGGCATTTGTTATCATTTGTTGAGATCGCTTCCAGCTGAACTTCAGGATCTTTACTATCTCACTGGCTTTTACACCATTGGTGATAGTGCTCCGCAAGCTTTGGTGCTGCCTCATGACGGAGAGCCGTTTTTGGTGGCCCGTTTGATTGAATGCGACCTCGTGCCAAAGCTCTCCTGGGTGTCCAAGGTGGGTTGGCGATTGTTTCGGCTCTGAATCTACGATGTCTCACAGCATTTTTGTCCAGCTCCCTGAGGTCAGCCTGAGGTCATTTTTTTTTTGTTCTCCATGATCTCCATGTTATCCTCCCAAGAGGTCTGTTATCCCAAGATGCAGGTCTGGACATGCCCAGACAAAGCCAGCGTTTCCGAAGTCTTCATGTATGCCATCACAGCTGCAAACGTACAAGTGCCTTGTCCTTCATCTCAACAATGGTGTCCTTGTTCTTCTCTGTGCTTTCTCAGGATAAACTTGATGAACTGTATCTTTGAAAGCTGGTATCACTTAAATACTCTTTACATACTCTTCAGCTTCTGGCTTCAAAGTTGGCACTGGACAGATCTTTGTCAGTTCCTAAGGATGGTCGAGTCGGCATACAACTTCAGAGCATTTCAGCAGCCCATTTCTTCCATCTGCAGAAATTCCTTCGGAAGTTTGAGACTGAAATTGTGGATGGCAGCAAGACGGAGCCTTGGTCTAAATTGGTGGTACAAGGTTATACAACACAACAGCTAAATCATGCCAGTCACAGGCTGGAATGGGATGATAAAGTAACACAGACTATACTTGCACCTCATTGGGAGTCTTCAGATCGTTGTGAGTTTGATTGGGTTTGATTGGTTTGAGTCCAAGACACTGCATTCGAAGTAAGAAAGGATGCAGACTAGATTTGAACTTGCTACTCCACTGGCCAGTAGTTGCAGGTGCAAGTTGGGGAAGCCTGGTTGATCCATACAGGGTTGTTTGCCTTCACTTCTCAAGAAGAGAAAAAGTCTTGCCGGAATTTCGAAGTTTCTGCGAAGAGTTATCCAGCCGGAATTTCGAAGTTTCTGCGAAGAGTTATCCAGCCAAACTCCGACCTGTGCTCCCTTTCCATGGCCCACTGGCAGCTTCTCAAGCGAATTCTGATTCGATGACATGTTGCCCCCCCTGAAATCCTGCCCACAGCGCAAAGGTGGAACGAGTCCGCCTTGTGAAGTCTGACTTTGAGAAGGAATCCAAAGGGGCGCAAGCACCAAGGGAGAAGAACAGAGTATTGACCCTCTCTCTCTCTCTCACTCTCTCTCTCTCTGTCTACTTTTTAATTTTTTGTTTTTCTTTCCTAGTTCCTCTGACTGGGCTAGAGCAGCTCCTGATCTGGAACTTGTTCGGTTCTTGTAGTTATTGGAAGCTTGCGTTAACACGAAGCGTTCCAGACGGATTTGCAGCCCTTGCACACCGCATCCACAAGTTGGTTATATTGGTTTGGCAAAGAATTTGGCAACAGTTTGACATATTCATCCATATTCATCTGTATTCATCCATATTCATCTTTTCTTTGGTTGGGGGTAAACGAGTAAAGACCAAGCTGCAGTCTCTGTGCAGGATCGAATCAAAGATGCTTCGGTCATCTCCGAGGCGGCGTTGCAGTCTGCTTTGGACCTCATCAAGCCAGGTGTGGCTCTGAGACTTCTGACACTTCTGACACTTCTGACACTTCTGACCTCTGAGACTTTTGATGAAACGGTCAACATGTCAACATGCCTTGCTCCGAAAGATTGGTTCGACTCAATTCCAGTCATTGCAAGCAATTTGCAGTCTCATTCCTGCAGGTGTTCTTCTCAGCAAACTTCATAGGAAAAGCTACGATGCTCTGATCTCCTCGGGAAGTGAGGTGCATCTTGTGTTACAGCGCTGGGTGGAAGCCAGTCAAATCATGCGAAAGTCAAGGCAACTTCGGCCCACCGATGGTCGACTGGCCCTTGACTGACCATGGTCCATTCTCGGCTGATTTTTTACATCAACGACGATGGTGTGTCCTTGGTCCAATGCAGGTGCCTGGCTATTTGCCCATTGTGCGCACCACAGACCCAAGCGGACACGGCTCGTGGATGGCTGGAGAGGACTAGAGATGGAGAGCGATGGGGAGCAGTTCGGGACCAGATCCGAGTTTCCACAAGCTCTGAAGAATATTAAGGATCTTCAAATATAGCCTTAAATATAGCAATGAATTTTGGGGCATCCAATCAATTCTAGCAATGAGGCTTCTAGGACTCAAGCAATGTGTCAATGATGCAAAGTCCAGGAGTGTGCCCCTGGCAACCTCGTCTTTCTCGAGCTTTCTGGGTGCAAGTTTGGCCATCATGCGCCTTTGATGCGCACGGCCTACATTTTGAAGCCTGAGGTACGTCCTACAGCGTCCTACAGCCAGGGTTCTGAAGAAAGAACAGAGATTCATTTGGAACTCAAATATGGAACCCTTTCAAAACACAACGGCTAAAGACCAGTTGCTTTGCCCTGTCTAAATTCTACAGGAGACGGAAGCACCAGCGTGGCTGCTGGAAGCAGAACGCCTTATCCAGAAGACCTTTGAGGTTTGAGGCTCAACAAAGGAACCGAGCCTCTTTGATATCTCGCAACGGAAAGGATCGGGTGCCAAGAGAATTTTTGCCGTGTGATCATGGCGCTTGTTTTGACAGAAATATGTTGAGGTTTGTTTGCCCATGATGGTTCCGGGGGCCAAAGCCAACGACATCGATGCGGCTGGACGTGAAATCATGATGAAGAACTCCTTTGGTTTGAGTATGGCTGCGTTCCTCGGCAGACATGGAGAAGGGTGGCCTTTATGCGCAAGACAACACAAACGCACGTCATTAATCATCAACATATCTATTTAATTCTATCTATTTATCTATCTATCTATCTGTCTGTCTAGCTAGCTATCTATCTACCTACCTATCTGTCTGTCTGTCTATCTTTCTTGTTTTGCTCCTAAACCGAAAGCTGCAAAGTGTGGTCGGTGTATTGAATGAATAGTGACGACCTGTTGTTACATGACATGAGCTTTGGGAATCTTTGTGGATCTTCTTGGGATCTTCTTGGGATCTTCTTGGGATCATTGGTGGCAGCTGCACCATTCTGAACCTGTCAGGCGCCTGGCCTATTCCACAGGTTCGACGTCTACACAGCCTGCAGGTCATGCTGGATGGGGAGATGCAGATTTCTCCTTGGTGGGCCACAACCATGGAGAGCTGAAGGCACAAGTGCTGAGGGCGGGATGGGAATCGTCCAAGCGTCTTCTATTGAATTGCGTAATTACACATATTAATACAGCATATTACACCTATAGCCTATAATTATATATTGTAGATTATATTGTCATGGTTTCTGTGTTTTTTCATAGACTTCTTGAGTCGCTTCGGAGTTGGTGCTTCATTTTAAACATTCCGCTGGTTCCCAGCGGTCCCACCGGTCCCACCGGCAGGCAGGGATGGTCTTCCATTTCATCCCTTGGTTTCAGAAGTACAACGAGCCTTCTGGGCCAATTGGTCTGTCTGATACTGTCATTGTGACCACTGAGGGTGGCCGACGCTTTGGAGAGCTGCCACTGACCGTGAAGAGTGTTGAATCAGTTGAAATCAGTTGAAAGGCTGATGTAGTTTTCAAAGCCAAAGGATGCTTTGGAGACTGCACAGCCATTGTCAAGGTATAACTGTATAACTATGTACAACTAGGGAATGTCCGCACAAGACAGCCAAATCACGCTGTTGACAAATGCTGACAACATATTTTAGTTCAACCTTCATTTGCCTTCAGGCAAGTCAAGACTGAGGATTGGCACAAGGACTTGCTCTCCACAGATCAAACCATTTTGCTCTGGATTCCAATCAGTGAGAGCAAGTCCTTATAGCCACTGATTTGCGTTGCTTTTTTGGCAGTGATTGCCTTTCTCTTCCCGTAAGCAACCGATTGTTTAGGACTTTAGGATAGTTTAGATGCATAGCCACTCCGCAGCTTTGGCATTTGAGTGGACAAAGCTGGAGCTCAGGCATCTCAAGCTACCGAGATTAGATTGGACGAAAAGAAAACACTGCGATGAACAAGTTGACAAACACGTTGACAAATAAGTTGACAGGCGTTCTTTGGATATGTCCCGATCAACAAGCTTGGCAGAACCGCTTCGAAAAGATCATTCTGCCCAGCAAGAGCTGTTTTTTATTCCATGTTTGTGATCGTTTGTGGCATCTTTGTGGCCATTCCGCTCAACAGCCTAGATAGAGGCAGAGCAGGTGGCGACGGGACGACTCAGTTCATTGGTGACTCTCAGGCTCAGTGGAGTTGCCAAGGGTCACCTATGTCGGCTATGTCGTTGCGTTGTTGTTCCTTGAGTGCAAAGGTTGGATAGGTTGGATAGGTTGGATTTGGTAGAAGATCTTGCGACATAATCTTTGCTTCAAGCTGGTCTTACTCGCTGCCTGGAAAGGTCACCATGCCCAAGAATTTGAGTCTCTTTGGATCGTGCCCATCTAAGTTGTGCAATTTGCAAGCACTCGTTTTGCATGATTCAGATCACTCCTCGCGTCTGAATCCGGATTTCTTGTGTGAAGTCGTACTTCTTGGACTTCGAATTGCACGGTTTGCTAGTGCCAGGTACCTGCAAAACCTTAGCAGGAAACTTCAGCAAGGATGGAAAAAGAGACAAATAACAAGGACAACGGGGCTGGGGTGCACGACGTTCCAGTCCACAGGCCAAATTTATTGAGTATGCACAATCTCTGCGTTGTAGAGTCAGCCACGCCCAGATCGTTTCAAGGTGTCAAGCACTTCTGGAGTCGATTTCTGCAGAGTGCCACAACACAAAGAGGAATTGCAGAAGCAAACTGAGCTGCAACTTATCTGAGGGCAGAAATTGAGTAAGTTGACGCACTCAATGTTGGAACCAAAAAAGTCCCTTCCTGTGGAGCTAGATGAGCTACCCAGATGAGCACGAGTTTCCCCAACTTTTCAGCTCCTGTGCCAGTGCTGGCGTAGCCATGGCGTAGCCAGAACCGATGCATGTACTCCGTAGTCTCCGGGCACGGAACTGCTCATGTTCTTTGAGATGGGGAATCGGAAGGTCCGGTCCTGAGGGATTTGGACCCACGGCATTTCAGGCAACTCGTGCAGCTGCGTAGCTCAGTGGGAGGAGTTGCCTCAGATGTGACCCACTAAGGTTGCCTTCTTTGATATCGCCACAACGTCTCACTGTGCAGAGGCACTTTGCCTCGTGCCCTGGCTTGCAAGATCCGAGATGAGGTTGCAAGAACACTGAAAACCAACTTGGAGAATCAGAAGGATCAGACCAAAGCGGGGCCGAGATCTTGTTCAAAAGCAGTACTTTTTCTTAGTGCAAGACTAGCCCAGACTCTCATGCTGATCACGCGATCCTAAGGATCTTGTTCCATGCAAGAGTGTCAATTCAACAACTGCAAAATCAGAACACAACCTAGGCGGGATGATGAGCAGCAGCAGCAGCAGCAGCAGCAGCAGCAGCAGCAGCCGCCAGCAGCAGCAGCAGCCGCCAGCAGCAGCAGCAGCAGCCGCCAGCAGCAGCAGCAGCAGCAGCAGCCGCCAGCAGCAGCAGCGGCAGCAGCCGCCAGCAGCAGCGCCTACAAAGATGTCTCCCTGCAGGAGGTCCATTACCGGATGCAGAGGAAAAAGGCAGGGATGCCAGTGGTTTCAATGAAGCACATTGTCCAAGCACATTGTGCGAAGCACATGGTCCAAAGAGAAGAGCAATGTCCATGTGACAAAATCTATTTGCAATCCGACCAAATTCCATGTTCCCTTCACCTTTTTCCTCATGGCGCTCCATTTGCTTCTGCACAGCTCTTCGTTCTGCGAGTCTTGTTGTGCTGATATATATATATATATAATTATATATACGTATAATGATATATACATACATTATATAATATAAAACACATATTTGCAATATGAATTCATGTACATATATGTACATATATATATATGTATGTATATATATATATATATATATATCAGAATGGTAGTCATAACGGTTCGCGATTCAGGCCCCAGGTCTGAGCAAATTTGGATTTTTTGCAGCCAGGAACATGCCCAGAAGGACAGAGACCTGGCAAGACCCTGGGAGCCCAAGAGAGGTGCCGTCCGAGATGGCGGAGATGGCAGTGGTGAACGCCTGCATGAACGATTATTAATATATTTAATATTGACGTGAACATGAATAGTTTATTGTTTGTTTGGAACTTCCATCTAGCTGTTGGCATTTGCCTTGTGTCAACTAGCAAGTTTTTACGAGGAGCAAATGATAGTCTATGCCAGGTGTGCCTTACCGCTTTCGCCTGTCAGACCAGGCCTGAAGAATTCTTTCAGAAATTTCAGTGATTATGATTTGAATGCAGCACCAGCATGCTTCTTTGCAGCGGGAAATGAAGCCTTGGCAAGCTTAATGCTGGTAAGTCAGAGGAAATTTGGAGGCCAACCTAGCCTCTGCCTTAGATAACCTTAGCCACTCTTGAAGTCTGAGGAAGATCGAAAGATTCCCTCAAAGGCCCGATGGGATTTCAATGCTTGTGTCTATCTTCACCGCAACACCGTCCAAAGTCTGTGACGATTTGATGTGAACATCAGATTGACAAAGCACGTGCAGCACGCATATCGCACATGTTGGTGTGAACCAACATCACAAGAACCTGTACCTTTACTGGTTTTTCACTTTACTTGGATGAGGCTCCCGAACAGATCGCTTTCAGTTCAAATGCGATCAGAATGCTCACCAATTTCCGTCAGGAGGATCGAGGCAAGCAAGCCAATCAAGGAGATCAACCAAAGAAGGCGGCAGGGCCTGTAGCTACCGCAACTGCATGTTGGAATTGGCAGCTTTCAATTTGTCCGCTATTAGAATTGACATGACCAAAGATAGTTTCAGAGAGTCCACAGGTGGTTAAATTAACACAGAGGTCAATGCAAGCAGAAAGATGCAAAAAGTAATGTCTTTTCCAAGCCCCCAAGTCTGAATTGTATTTCTGGCCATTCTTCTCTTACACCTCAATTGCAGATCGCATCGAATACTTAAAACTTTTCTGCACCCTCTCCAGAACAGGCACAAGTCTACTCAGATCATGCCGGCTTGCGCTTTCCCACTTTGGACACTGTGCCTTTGAGTTTGATTGGCTTTGCCTTCTGCCTTGACAGAGGTGTGAAGTTAGTGACTGTTTTGTTGATTCACCAAGAATCATCAAGATAATTAGGTAGTTGGATATGGTTGAATCTAATATATAGTTGATTCAGATTCATCGTGTTGTGATCGTGATCGCTCCTTCTTCAAAACTCGATTGCCATGGCGCTGTGAAAGTCCTGCCATGGCCGCCCAAGGCGGAGAACTACGATTACAACCGAGATCGTGGCTTCGATCGAATCGTTGAGCGTGCCTTCCCCATCAAGGCCATAAGGGGGCCATGGATGATGCAACGGTTGGTGCCAGTTGGTGCTGTGACAGGTGCCAGGATATCGGAGGTTGGACCCCTACTTCCGCGAGTACATCTGGTTTCTCAACAATTTGGTGGAAGCCTCAGGCTTTTCAGCGGCTCCTAAGTTCGTGATTTCACTTCACATGCCCTGTATGCTTGTTGTCCTCGGTCACGAGGTGAGCAAACAGATTTTGAGTGAAATTGGTCTTGTTTATCCACAGCCAGCGCGATTCACAGAATTTCACAGGATCCCGCGCGATTCACAATTTCTCGGATTGCGAAGCGGCCTGATACTGAGACAAATCCCGCAAAAATGTGTCACCTACAGTCACCTTGATGGACTCATTTTGACGCTGGCAAGTTGGACATGGATTTTTCAGCGGGTCCGAAATCATCACACTCTACTGGACCACAATACATCTAAAGCTTTATCGACATCCATCATCACCCATCTCCATCGTATAATGAATGCATGCAATTGTATGTATCTCTATATATGTATATTATGTATATGTAATGTAATGTAATGTCATGTCATGCTATGTAATGTAAGGTGATGTGATGTGATGTAATGGCATGCAAGGGTAGTAGTGTAACGTAAGTCGATGTAATGTAATGTATACAGATAGATCTCTCTATCTATATCTATACCTATATCTATATGTATGTCTATATCATATAGTCTTTATCTATATCGATCTACTCTCTCTATGCATGTACACATAGCAATATTCAGGGACTTTCTTTGCCAGAGCAGTCTGCGTGGAGTACTCAAGACTGCTGCGTGGCTACGAAATGGCCAGGTATCGTTTGAGAGAGAAGACAGTTGCAAAGGTTGTGCAGGACTCTCATGACACAAAAAACATCAAAAAACATAGAAAACCATGAGTCAATGTTTGCAATCCAGCACCATGTCTCACCATATTTGCACAGCTGTAGCTGCAAGGAGTGGGCAACGAATCAATATCTTACGAGGAGCAGCAGTTTGTTCTGCCGTCGAGGTCCAGGATACAGCGCTACAACATGGTTCGCAGCGTCTTGCAGTTTCATCATAAGAATGATAAGAATGCGTATTTCTAAAGCAAACTCAATGTGTCCTAGCATTTTACTATATTTTACTCTAGGACTCATAGTGTAACTCGTTTTTTTATGTTTTATTTGATCCCTTAAGCGTCCTATCACTACGCAATTGCAATTCCACAGGGGTCTTGGATGAATGCTGGTGTATTGTGTTTGGGAAGTGCTTGGGAAGTGCTTGGAAGTGCTTTCCTTGTACTTCTGCCGATCTTACATGATTCAGGAGCGGTTTGACTCGATTGAGAGACAAGCAACAAACTCGTGAGGCTGGGCACTTGCTGGCTGAAAGCAATCGTCGCACATTTGCAGCATGGGCCATGGGCAAAAACCACAATTTCATGCAATTTATGCATATTTATGCAGTATAGATTATGTAGAATCAGCCAAACGCACAAAGCGTGAAGTTCAGGGAAGAGTGCGCACGTGGTGTTCGCAGAATGCACTGTTTGCAAAGGCAGTGGTTCTTGCCAAGAAGGAGCAAGCCTACGCGAAGTGGGTCGGCGCATTCCCAAGCGGAACTTG